GTTCAACGATATATGYGACACTAACTGAGCTAGATATTTAAAATTATAGAACAAATGATACCAATATCGACTTCAATACAGTGGAATGGAAGAAGGAATGGGCAAATGATCTCAAAAAAGCTGAAAATGACACGAAGGATTTAAGAGTAACGTGTGTGAATATAAAAGGAAAACCAGTGGACTCTGTAAGTAAAACATTTTCTTGTATAAATATTTTCATTCTATTTCATTTGATGAATAGTATCATTAATTACGATTCAAAATTCAATCATCGTTTATATAATGCTATATCATAGCTCGATTCTAACATGCGCGCTGATTGGCGGATTTCATGAGAAAAGCTATGGCTATGGAGCCCTTTGAGTCTAAATGGCGGACGCCGGCTATAATATTAAAAAGAAATAAACGATAKCTTGAAGCTTTTTACTGGCAAAAGTAAGCTACCGTTTATTTCTTATCTTATCAATAATCCACAATCCACAAATAGCCAACTTGCAAATTTCGCCTCAGTGGTCAAGCAAAGGAGTCAAGGYGCCGTGCATAAAGCTCAGTCATTCATTAAACGACAAACGTTTTTCACAATTGACTGAGCTTATAAGCGCTGCGCCTCGTCTTGATTCTTTTGTAGGCCGAAATTGGCAAGTCGACTATTTACAATTGCTGGAAAACCGATTCCTTGTATATAAATAATTGCTCAAAACCTTCACATTTCTTTTAAAACTTATATACGTTTCCCATTATAGGTGAACCGCAAATATTTCACGAAACCAGTTATAAGAGAGCCATTCAAGGAGCCTGAGAACTGCCCTAAAAAGCCTGGTCCCGTCTCTGCCAGTGCGAAAATGAGCGTTTATATTTTGCTGTTGATTGCTTCAGTGTTGATTTTGGCTTTTGTGGTTTAAACCTCGAAAAGAGCTTTTGGCATTGCACTTCACTTATTTGATTCTTTAAAGCACTTTATAACCATATCAAAGAATTACGTCATTCTTTTAGCAGCTCCATATATACATGCATCTGGAGTTCCGGAGAACAATGCGTCTGCCATCTTGAAAAAAGTGCAGAGGCCCGAGTGACGACGAATGAAACATTTCGTAGTTGCGAAGTCAACTATAATCTATCATTACATCGTATCATATTAACTTGACATTAGCTGAGAACCTTTTAATTCCTTTAGAAGTTGTAATTTAGTGATTTGAGTCCCACTTTTCAAGATGACGGACTCATTGTTCTCCGAAACTCCTGATGCATGTATAGTAATCCTATTTTTGAAGTATGCGTGGACGTGTTTTTGGCCATTTTCTCAAGAGCTGTAAATAGTCTGAAACTTTCAAATTTTATAGCGAAATCCCTTTCGAATAAATAGTACAATATTATCACTAMCTACWATACACATGAATATACAATGAGATATGGACAGGTCTGAAAAGACTGCTGGCCAAGAAAGTGGACAGCGGTATATCCATGAGTGTTATAGGTTCCACGCCATGTCGGGGGTAGGGCGGGTGGGCGAATTGAACCAGTATGTGTCCGTGGTTTGAATCGGAATGAACAAAGCGTGCAGATCACGCTCATTTATACACTGCAAGGCATTGTGGGATATCTATTGTTATGCTAATTTCATGCTTTATTTCCGGTATTACAAATAGACAATTTGTTTGTTTCCGTATATGGCATAGWTTGGTAAAGGCAGCCCAAATAAGAAAGGGACAGGGATCCCGCACGAATGGGAGCAATTCACTGATATGCGTTCCTAYCGCTTCCTTGAAGACAAATTTGCTTTAGGGTAGGACACACATGCAGCAATCACAAACATGTATCAATCACTTTAAACTCTACGTTGKTTTCACTTTAAATCAACTGAGGCACGGTTATGCCGCTGGGACTTTACCCCTCCGCGGCGGCGGCTATCAAGATGATAATAGAACTGGAAGAATCATACATATGTATTAATTTCAATAGACTATCGCCTTTTACGGGTGTAAAGCACATTAAGTAACAATGCGCTAAAGAACTAGGGAGCTCTCTATTGTTCTGCGGCATAGCAAGTTCCCCATGTACGAATRTCTYGRTTTTCACACTGATTATGTATTAACCTGTGGGTAACACATTTTTGAAATAAAATGTAAATAAACTCTATTTTGAAACAAAGTTTCTTTTGTATTAAAAGCTCTTATCCAATCATTAGCACTCAAAACAATAGCCAAAAGATGCTTCTAATTTGCAATGTTCCCCACATAGAATTGCCTTAATATTGAAGCTAAAGAAAGCTTTCATGAAAGCGAAAACAGACATTAAATAAAATATTAGAAAATTTGCTAACTTGTGAAATTACAGCAGATTTTCATGTTTTAACCTATGGGATGGATGGATTATACAATGCGCAATTAGCACCTTCTTGCATTCCTGTGCCGTTTGCTTCCCTAGTTCTTACTCGGGGCATTACTTAATTAACTATGTGGTCATTGGAAAACTGCTGCACTTGATCAGGACAAAATTTGCTGGGGATAAAAAGTCAACATCTTGAGTAAACAATCATAGTTCTAAATCACTAAAGAACTAGATGTCTAAAGAGAACTTTTGTTAATTTTTGCATGTAATTCCCCACCCAAACCTATCCCAATAAGTGAAGGTTTTGTTGTTTGATGGTTTACAAGCGGTTGCTAAGGAGCGCGAGTGACATCATATTATGTCATGACGTTGTACAGACGAGCTCTAATAGAGGGAAAATATAATTTCCCCTCCCCCCTGCTTAGAGATGACAAAATGACAGTTGATAGACGTGTAGGCTTAAATCTTTTAATGAATATACTTAAAACATTACCCGATCATCACCTGTATACATGATTCTACTGCCTTGGCACTATCGACACCAGCTGATGTTTTTTCATCGTCTTCGGCGCGCGATTTTTTCTTGTCGTGCAATCAAAATGAACACGATGTCTATCACGTGACGAAGGACTGGAAAAMCCGCGTCCGCACTTTTCGCACGTGTATGGTTTAGCTCCCGTGTGCATATTAATGTGGAACTTGAGCTCGTACGACTGCGCAAAGGCTTTTCCACAATATTGGCAGACGCATGGTTTTTCTTTGGTGTGTGTTCTTCGCACGTGACTATCATGTGCGGCATGAGATGCAAATGCTTTCCCACAATGCTTACACTTGAATGGCTTCTCGCCACTATGTTGGCGAATGTGGGTGCGAAGTATGGACGACGCTGTAAAYGCCTTTTCACAATAGGGGCATTTATACGGCCGCTCGCCGCTGTGTACTCTCATGTGCTTGTTTAGGCTCGAAGATTGTGAAAATCTTTTAGTGCAGACACTACACTGATGTGGGCGGTATTTTTGGTGCACGTGGAGCACGTGAATACGTAATCTGTCACGCTTTTCAAAGGATCTGTCACATAACGAGCAGGGAAACTTTCTGTCACCGTTGTCRATGCATCGGGTGTATTTTAGGTGTTTGTCACGGTAGTACCTGTAAGCAAACACTTTGCCACATCTTTGACATGAAAATCCACACTCTGAAGCTGAAAATTAAAAAGAATATTATACTTGTGTAACAAACTCCAGATATGTCCTTTATACGTCTATGTGCATGGGGGTTAGCTATCCGTCTTTTAGCACAGTGCACTTCTCAGAGACCGACTCTCGACAACTCTCTGGCAGTACAAACCACTCCAAAAATCTCACTCTCTCAAGCACGAACTTGACTTTTATTTCGAGAATTAGCCTTCCCCCAGGGACAATCACACACAAAACATTCACGTGAATACACAAACACACATTAAATCGCCCAGTCTACACTTGTTCAAACACTATGAACACCAATAACATCCATTTTAATCTTGAAGACTTTGACAATGGGGAGCTTAAAGGGAGATCCACACTAATCCCTTTCTAATTATAAGGAAATAGATTTTACCACCAATATGGCCGCCATCTTGAATTCTACATTGAATCGATTCAACAACAAACTATAGGATATCTGGATGCGACAAAGAAGGAATTCATGGACTTTACGGCTTTGAGAATGCTCTGAGATTCAATGTTATATCAAAACACACACGAAAAACATTGAAGAACAAAAAATGTTTGAACAAGATTAAAATTTGATTGCATCAATTGCCCTATGGCATAATGACGTCACAGTATGTTTACAATGTGGATGATCAGATTGGCTCGAAGTTTGGACTTATTAACATTCTTTCCGAAAGTAGAAATTAATTGTATCGAGTTTGATGTTATCATTTATCAATCTACATTTTATTTGATATGCACTCGCTCTGATCCCATTTTTGCAACCATAATCCTTAGCGTTAAAACAATAGAATGTTTTTGTATGACATAATTATGCGATAGGGCAATTTATTAGTCATCCCATAATTTCTTCATTATTCAGGATGGTGGCCGTATTACTAAAATAGAGGCATGGTAAAGAGAATGAATCATCAAAATTTCGAACTGGGTCATATTTCGAAAAAAAATTCAGATACTCAAGACTTACTTTCAAGCGTTCGTGGTAATTGTTGTGCGTCCACTTTCCTTAAAGCCAGCGGTACTCCCATGAATACCTCATAGTTCTTCCCATACCAGACTGCAAGCTCTGTGCCTTTGTAGATTGGTTTATTAGCTTCGTAGTAGACATCCTCACCTTGTTGAATSACTGACAWGTTTTGCATTTCATCAGAGATGGCGCTTTTGACAAATTTCATCCAGTTKGTCGAATCGTCAGTTCCGTCTATATAGTATGASACTTTTCGATCTTTTCTTGAAAATACCTTTACAAA